GCGGTGGCCGGGAGTGGCCACTGCAGTCCAGCCTGGGCGACAGAGTGAGACTCCAAGTCAAAAACAAAAACAAAAAACCAGACCTAGGGCTAACACAGAGAGGCAACTCTCCTGCTTGGGGAAGGTGCTGATGAACCTAGGAGTCTAGTTGGTGGATTGGAGGCCAAGAGAGACTCTGGAGCAGGTATGGCCTTCTAGAAGAGAGGTTATAATTATAGTGTATGAAACAATTATATATTTATTGTACAAAATGTGTTTTATGGCTAGGTATGGTGGCTTATGCCTGTAAACCCAGTACTTTGGGAGGCCGAGGTGGGAAAATTGTTTGAGTCCAGGAGTTTGAGACTAGCCTGGGCAACATAGTGTGACCTCATCTCTGCAAAAAAATTTTTTTACATACCTGGGTATGGTGATATACATCTGTAGTGCCAGCTACTTGGGAAGCTGAGGTGGAAGGATCTCCTGAGTCCAGGAGGTTGAGGCTGTGATGAGCCATGATTGTTCCACTGCACTCTAGCCTGGGCAACAGAATCAGACTCCAACTCAAAAAAAAGTTTTATATTATTTTTTATCAAAATGAAATCTACAAAAACTGCTCAAATAGATACATTTGTAACTGGCTAAAAGTTTGAATGTCGCTGGGAGTGCTGGCTCACATTTGTAATGCCAGCACTTTGGGAGGCTGAGGTGGGAGGATTGTTGGAGCCCAGGAATTTGAGACCAGCCTGGGGAACATAGAGCAACCCCGTCTCTATTTTTTAAAAAGGTTTGAATGTGACCCTTAAGAAACTTATGGAGAGCACTATGAGATACCCTTATTTTAGAAAGTCTAAAATTTTATATATGTTTTTGTTTATAGCCTATACAGCACAGACACCCGAGAGTGTTACCCCAGCTGCTGCCTCAGAGACTTATTTAAAGGCTTTGGCTGTTTGTCATGGGCCTCTGGACCACTATGACTTTCTGATCAAAGCTCATGAACTAAAGGATGATGAGCATCAGAGAAGAGTCATACAGTGTTTGCAGAAGTTACACGAAGACCTGAAAGGATACAACGTAGAGGCAGAAGGCCTCTTGTCAAAGGTGAGGCTGTTGTGACCGCTAAAGACTGAACAGTTACAGTGTAAGCATTTGATAAAGAGATTCAGTGCAGGGCAACATCCGTGAAGCAGCTTGGAAATTTCATGCCAGTTCCTTTCAAAAATTCTGCTGGATCCCCCTTCCTGGCCTTTTGATGTTCCGTAGCTTTCTGTTGCTATGGAATATCCAAAGGCCAGGAATGGGGATCCAGCATTTTTTGATCAGCTTCATATTTAGGTATTTAAAAACGCAGTTCAATATAAGTGGAAGTGCCTGTGCAATTCAAAGCTTTCCTTTTCTGCAGCTCAGGCCTCACCAAGGATCAGCAGTGGAATAGGAGGAGTGGTTGGTTCTTCACCTTTTGCTCCTCATTCCTCTGCTTGCCAGGCTTCTGCAGGGTGAGAATGAGAAGGAAGAAAGATTCGAGGGAAACAGCAGTCTTAGGTGACCAGTGACTGTCGTGGCCTTTATGGGGTAGACGTGATCAGGTTAACTCTTTGTTAAGGACACTGGCAGGTTCCTTAAGACTTCCATGGGGACCCCCACGTAGCCCAATTCTTTCACCTCTTGTGACTGCGGGGAGGCATCTTACAGCCCTACATCCTGCTGGGACCCCCTTGCCCTTGCCTTTAGCCTTCTTGGGTGGGTCCTTTCAGGACAGTTGGTGCTGGCTCATCTTTTATGGTGTCTACTTAGGCCACAGGAAGTGTGACATCTCCTTTCCCCAACCCCTGCTGCGAGGCAGCTTCAGTCAGTCTCCCATCCTTGGGCTTCCAAGAAGCAGGCATTTGTATTGGTCTTCGTCATGCACACCCCCTTCCTCAGGGACACACGTCAAGTTCTTCCACGAACTCTTTCATACCCTGCTGTGGCAGCTGTCTGTGCATTTCCTCACCCGAGCAAGATGCCAGCTGGGGTGAGGGATGCCCTTCATGTCTTACACTCACCCCTAATCTGGATGCTTCTCTGTGGGAACCCCTTGTACTCGACATGAGGTTCCTGAGGGAAACGCCGCAGCACACCTTACCCAGGAAACACCTTTCTGCCATGATCACTCTCTTCTGTTTCACTTTGTTTTTAGGGCTGTTTTTGCCTCTTTTTTTTCCTTTTAAGTAACTCCTGCATGGATGTGACTAGTGCTTCTTTCTAGAATGTGGGGAGACCTTTTCTTCCCTTGTCCTCTGCTTTGAGCACTTGCTGAAATTCTGTGGCAGCAGGAAAACTCCCGTTCCTTATTCACTATAGAAGCCCATGGGATCATCTTTATGTTATGAGGAATATTAATAGTAATAAGGGTTAAAGGAAGCCAGTTGTGGTGGCTCACGCCTGTAATCCCAGCACTTTGGGAGACTGAGGTAAGAGGATTGCCTGAGTCCAAGGGTTCAAGACCAGCCTGGGTGAGGCCTCATCTCTATAATAAATCAAAAAATTAGCCAGGCATGGTGGCTGCCTATAGTTCCAGCTACTTGGAAGACTGAGGTGGAAGGATCATCTGAGCCCAGCAGGTCGAGGCTGCGGTGGCTGTGAGTGTGCCACTGCACTCTAGCCTAGGTGACAGAGTGAGACGCCTACTAAAAAAAAATTTTTTTTAAGAGTTAAAATATGGTGCCACCTAAGAACCAAATTTTCCTTTAATTAACTGCCCCCTCTCTCTGCCAAATGTTCCTTTATTGTAAGGTCTTTAGAAGAAAGGCACTAAGCTGACCTATAATCCCAGCACTTTGGGAAGCTGAGGTGGGAGGATCACTTGAGGCCAGGAGTTCAAGACCAATCTGGGCAACATAGTGAGAGCTTATCCCTGGAAAAAAATAAAAAGAAGAAAGACACTGTATAAAATACATTAGTAGTACTTTATTTTATTTTATTTTTTTGAGTTGAAGTCTCACTCTGTCACCCAGACTGGAGTGCAGTGGCCGCTCCTGGTCACCTCAGCCTCGACCTGCTGGACTCTGGGGATCCTTCCGCCTCCGCCTTCCAAGTAGCTGGAACTGCAGGCACGTGCTGCCACACCCGGCTGATTTTTTTATTTATTGTAGAGATGAGGTCTTGCCAAGTTGCCCAGGTGGGTCTCGAACCCGCGCGCTCAGGCAATCCACTCACCTCAGCTTCCCAAAGTGCTGGGATTACAGGCTGAGCCACCGAGCCTGGCTTAGTACTTTATTTTAAAAGGATGAAAGTAATTTTACTTTTTAAAAAGCAATTGAGAGTATAATTAAATAGTTATTTTTTATATAAAGGAAACAACTTTCATTGTGTTTACACTTTTGGTTGAAAGGAATGGAAATTCATTTAGGTTACAGAAGCAGTGGAGATTTAGAATAAGATCACACATGACTGTAGCAAGTAAAGGCATCTCACTACGTGACCAGAACTTAGTAGTCCTCTGCCATTCATGTAATCCACCATCTTGGTCCGCTTAGGCTGCCATCACAGAATACTGTAGCTGGGTGACTTATAAACAACAGAAAATGATTTCACACAGTTCTGAAGGTTGGGAAGCCCAAGATCAAGGTGCTGGCAAATTCAGTGTCTGGGGAGGGCCTGCTTAGCTGTTCATGGACAGCCATCTTTCTCTGTGTCCTCACATGGCTGAAGGGATAGTTGAGCTTTCTCAGGTCTTATTTATTTATTTATTTATTTAGAGTCAGGATCTTACTCTGTTGCTCAGTCTGGAGTGCAGTGGCACGATCACAGCTCACCACAGCCTCAACTTCCTGGGCTCAGGTGATCCTTCTGCCTCTGTCTCCTGAGTAGCTGGGATCACAGGCATGTACCACTACACCCAGCTAATTTAAAAAAATTTATTTTTTGTAGAGAAGAGGTCTCACTATGTTGCCTAGGCTGGTCTCAAACTCCTGGGTTCAAGCATTCATCCCACCTTGGCTTTCCAAGGTGCTGGGATTACAGGTGTGAGCCACTGCGCCTGGCCTATTTCCCTGTTTGTTCTACCAACTTCTGAATTATCTCCTTGAATCTGTGGTTTAAATTCCTAAGTAAGGATCCATTAGGCTAGTCAATCACTTCATCCCTGTCTAGGCAGAGCTGTTATACCAGGTTTCTCAGAGGCCACTAACCAGTATGAAGATCTGATCTCTGCCTAAGGTGCAATCCGGGGCTGCTCCCACAGGCATGGCAGCTTCCCTCAGAATCTGACCATGATTGGGATGGCCACCATGAATGACTGGTCCCGCACATGGTTGTAGGAAAAAAAGAACTATCCCTTTTGATGACCTGCCTCTTTTTCCTGTATTTCCAAAAGTTGAATAAATAGCTAAAAAGTTTAGAAAACAGACAACTTGTATATTGCATATTTAATGATAGTTTGATGCAGGTGGGCTTCTAAATAAAGTAAAAACATAGTTGTGTGGCATAGCCAGGAAACAACATGTTTTAATTCACTGGAATTTTTTTTTTGTTGTTATATAAAAGTCAAATTGCTTCCACCAATTTTTATTTTTATATCTTTTGAATCAGGGTATCTGTCTCCCAGGCTGGAGTGCAGTGGCATGATCACTGCTTATTGGTGCCTTGATCTCTTGGGCTCAGACAGTCAACCTGCCTCAGCCTCTTTAGTAGCTAGAACTACAGGCATATGCCACCATGCCTGGCTTTTAAAAACTTTTTTGTATATATGAAGTCTCACTATGTTGTCTAGGCTGTTCTTGAGCTCCTGGGCTTAAGCAGTCTTCCCACCTCAGCCTCCTAAAGTGTTGGGATTACAGGCATGAGCCACTGCACTCGGCTGCTTCCATTGATTTTATGTCTTGTTCATATCCCACCTCCCTACTCGGTAGCATCCCTGGGCTCATCTTATAGTGATGGTGAATTTTCATCCTATCACAAGTATCCTTTATTTATTTATTTATTTTTTGAGTTGGAGTCTCACTCTGTCGCCCAGACTGGAGTGCAGTGGCCACTCCCGGCCATCACAGCCTCGACCTGCTGGGCTCCGGCGATCCTTCCGCCTCAGCCTTCCAAGTAGCTAGAAGTACAGGCGCGCGCTACCACGCCCAGCTTATTTTTTATCTATTGTAGGGATGAGGTCTCGCCAAGTTGCCCAGGCGGGTCTCGAACCCGCGGGCTCAGGCAATCCACTCACCTCAGCCTCCCAAGGCACAGGATTACAGGCTGAGCCACTGAGCCCGGCTCCACAAGTATCCTTTAATCATTAACTTATCTGGTTGCCAACTCAACAAAAGTAGTTTAAAAAATATGTATCATTGGTTCTTCTTAATGGTATTTTCCCATACTTCTACCTTTGATACCTGAGTTGGTTATGATGGCCAGCCCAGTGAATAATCCTGGTTTTATTTTGTAGTTGAAATTTTTTTTTTTGCTAATAATCTTCTTTTTTATTATTATTATTTTTCTTTATTTTAAAGATGTGGGGTACAATTCAGGGTTAGGTTTACAGATGTTCATTATGCAAGTGCCCTTGTTGATAAGGTATGCCCCTCCCTCCCCTGGCAGTTTCCCACTACTGCCAATCTCTTTGTTATAGTATTATAATTGTTCGAGGTCCACTTATGAATCTGAACATATGGTACTCTGTTTCTGTGATAGATCATTGAGTACAATAGGCTCTAAATCCATCCAAGTTGCTGTGGAGTCCATATGTTTGTCCTTCTTTATAGCTGCATAATATTCCATTGTGTATATGTACCACTTTTTTTTTAATCCAGTCCAGCTTTGATGGGCAGCATGGTTGGTCTCATGTTTTTGCTTTTGTGAGCAGAGCTGCAACAGACATGCGTGTGCAGGTATCTTTTTGGTAGAATGACTTGAGTTCCTCCAGGTATGTTTCCAACAGGGGGATTACTGGGTCATATAGAAGGTCAATTTCTAGTTCTTTCAGAAATCACCACACTATCTTCCAGAGAGGTTGCACTAGTTGCAATCCCACCAGTAGTGTTGTAGTTGAAATCTTATAGCCAGGTGTGGTTGCTCATGCCTGTAATCACAGCACTTTGGGAGACTGAAGTGGGAGGATTGCTTGAGGTCAG